CGATAAAGGATTTTAGACCTAGCGTTCAGTACGTTTTGAACGCATTGATTATACTTTTTATCAATCTATCAAATAAGTATAATGGAACGCGAGAAAAAAAAACAGAGATAATTTGTATACGCATTGCAGTTTCAGCTTAGAGTTTTCTATTTTACTATATCCGAACGAAAACCCAAAGTAACATATATTCATAACACCAAAATAATGAAGACAAAGCGAAGAACAGAACCAAAGGGCGTTATTGTGAATGAGACCAAAGCTTTTAAAGACGATAGCTAAGTTGCAAGGCTAGTAGTGGTACACGTGACAACTAGCCATTTGTATAATCGTGAGTATAGGCCCAGGATGGATGGAAACACGTGTCGTATGCTACGAATCGTGCAAGTGTTAATATTGGACACAGTGACAACTGATACGCAATGTCTCTATCTCAGACCCACCAAGCACCAAGTTCCCTCTCTAACATTTTCAACCAGGCAAAACAAAATATAATATATCATAGACCCAAAAGATCAATTATTCAATATTTTACATTACTGTCAAAACAGCCACCACTTCCTTTGCCGGAGAATAATAATCCCATAAATTATCCAAAAGGATAAACATGGAATCATGGATGCTCACAACCTAATGAAATTTTGTGTAATGGGTCTATTCTATTCAGACCCGGCTCAATGTTTTGTTGGACCTGGTGCTACCTACAACTCTTTTATATTAGAGTTGGACCCGACTCAATAATTGGGTCCCAAAGTGTTAAAATCGATACAATGCAAGTAGAAAATACTCGTTCAAGTGAAGATTAGTCAACAACAAAAATGTGAAACCAATTAAAAAATGAAGATTGTTCACGACATTACAAAATGGTAACAATTGAATTGGTCCTCGTCAACTTGACAAACTTTACTCATCTTCCTCGTCAACCTTACACTTACTCATCTGTTAAGTCTTTTTTTTTTTTTGAAACTTAACAAACAGTTAGTCAGACCCTACACTTAACAGATGAGTAAAGTTTAATATTTCCGCAGCTTCCTTACATCAAATATATGTGAGACTAATTAGCACAAAAAAATTGATAACAAATCAGAAGATATTGGAGATGTATATATGACTATGTTTGTCAATCCAGTTCTGAGGTAAATCTCAACAAGCAAATATTTTATGCAGCAAAATATATTAAGAAGTTTAAAGACATCATTTTTGAAGAATCAGTTGTGGAGTAGCGATTGAGCTTGTTTTTACATATTTAAAATTCCAATCCTTAACTTATTTTTAAAATGTGTTGGCCAATGCGCTAAACAAATTGTTTGCTTTAAAACCATAAAGGGTGAGGCAAAAAAAATAATCAACATGAACTCTCATTTGAAGCAGCTTAAAAACTAGGGC